TGTTGCATCACGAAGCGGTATCGCCTCATTCGATATGAGCGACGACCGATCGGGGTTCAAAGGCCAGCCCGCGAAGGGCTCGAGACCTCCTCGCGTCAAACAGAGCTAGGGGAGTAAACGTAGATGAGCCCCTACGGCCCTTCCCTTCTCGTTCGATCCTAACCTCGAGCCATGCCAACAGAATCTCTATCGATGGGAGACCAGCGGGCCACCTGAGTCGGTCTTTGGAATGGCTCGGCCGTCTGCCGGGAGGTGGGTTAAGGAGCAGTGGAATTCCATATGAGGGCTATGCCGACAGGTTACGAACGATGGACCTAGATTCCACTTGAACGTACCCATATTTAAGCTCACCGAGCGCGTCACTCGAGCCATCGAGGCAAGCGACGTTAGCTCAACCCCTCCGGTTGCGGAAACCGCGGACGGGGTAACGCACGAAACTAGACCGACCACTTGGCCACGCCTGACGCTTCAGTTGGCACCCGACAACTTGGGTTGGCACTCTGCCTCGCCCGACCCCTCGGCTACGCCCGACGCTTGGGTTGGCGCTCCGCCTCGCCCGACCCCTTAGCCGTGCCCGATGCTTAGGTTCAGGCTCTGCCTCGCCCGACACTTGGGTTGGCGCTCTGCCTCGCCCAACCCCTCGACCGTGCTCGACGCTTGGGATGGCGCTCTGTCTCGCCCGATGCCTCGGGTCCACGCTCCATCTCGACCGACGGCAATCCACAATCTTACACCTACCGGGTGCTCTCGTGAAACGAGTGTAAACAGCCCCTTCACGACTTCATAGAAGTCCCAAAAGGGGTCGGGGGCTCCTGTCGGGTTCATAAACCCGGGATCCCCAATGTACCCGCTTCCCCTGCGAAAACTTGGCCCAGCAGATGGCGTTGCGACAACGCGCGCCTCCCGGGACAGCCTAGATACATAATGACAGGCCAGAACAACAATTCGGTCCCCGACTGGAAGGCCTAGCAAAGGTGGGGACACAGTCCGACTCCGACCTCCTTTTCTGACCGGAAGGCTAGAACAACGATCTGCTCCCGATTCTTCCCCGACCGACACGGTCGGGGCCGACTAGGAACGACCAACCGGGGATGCCCTCTTGGTGAGGGCTCGGGGATCAGGCAGAGCGGATAAGGTAAGGCGCTCAAGTCAACCGCCATACCAAAGACCGTACCCTGCCATGCCCTGTGCACCTTTAGGACGGTGCCACCAGGCCATGCCTGATGAGCACTATGCAATTTTCCAGGCATGTCAGAGCACAAACAGTATTGTAGGCGCCGACGTTTGCCGTACTAGGCAAACACGGTAGAGGCTGCCACATGCATCTGACATAAACAGTATTGTGGGCACCGACGACCATCTCGTACCCGACAGCGTGGACAACAAGACTAGGTAGCACATGTATCCATTCTTTCTTTCTCTGACTTGTAAGGCTATCCCCTTCAACTATAAAGGGGATGCGCTCTCTCCTCTCTGGGGGACGTTCTCTCGGCTCTCAAAAGAAAAGAGGCTAGACGTTCTCTCTGGCTCTCCTCCGTCGAAAAGAGAAGCTAGACGATTCAAGGACTCGAACAGCTCGATAGCTCTATAACTCTAAATCTACATAGAGCATATGTTCCAATACTTAGCGCACGTTAGAGCACCCGTCACACTGGGCCGCTTGGTTTTACAGTCCGACTGGGCCTCTAACCCCCACTTTTCATTCCTACTCATTTGTAACCCCACAGCAAACTTCGAGCACCTAGGCTTAGGAATAAAGTCACCGACACGACTGAAACTAGACGTAGGGCACGTTGCCTGAACCAGTATAAATCCTATGTCATTGAGTGCTAGGCCACATCCGATCACAACGCACGGCAAAACTACAAATATTTACTTGTTGGTCACTTTTCGCACCGATAGAGGCTCAGATCTAGCGGAGGACCGACCTACCGTGTCGGAGCTGCCGCCATCGTCCTTGTCCCCGGTGGGGGGGTGGCGGGAGCCAGGTCGCTGGGGGCGCGGGGTAGCAATGGAGGCCGCGGGAGGGGGGAGGGAGGGAGGGAGGAAGCGCCAACGGGCGGGGGGAGGCAGCCAGTTGGCGCTTGGCGCGCGGCGTCTGTCCCACCGGGTGGGGCAGGGCGGCAGTAGAATGGGAGGGGCGTGAGCGCTGCCGGAGTGAGCGGTCGAGGAAAGGATAAGGAGTGCGGGAGGCGGCGTGCGGCACGGGTGGGTCGGGTTCGCCGCAGGTCGGGTGCGTCCGTCCCTATTCGGACGCCCGCTGTATATCATTATCGTTGCTCCCAAGATAGCCATTGTCTTATTTGGGGCACTTACCCTCAGGGCATCAACAGTCCTAGCTATTTACTAGCCAGGAGACGTCCACGTCATGCACTAAAAAGCTAGCAGTCCAGAGAGCTATCTATAATGCTAGCTATTTATATTTTTAATACTTCACGGATAATACTATGCATCATCTTTGTGGAGGCTTCATAACATAATATAGCACTAAACATCTCATCTGAAAAAATTGGTCATCGAAAGTGTGCTGTACAATTATAAAAGATGGTCGTTACCTAAGGGCCACTAAAAAGTTCGAGCGCATCTAGGTGCCACTGGCCGGAACTTTTTTTTGGCACAAGCCATTTGGTCCATTTTCACTGGTGACGGTGTCAAACAGGAGGATGAAATGACCATTTTGCCCCCATTTGGATTTCTAATTTTGTTTAGTTTCCTTTCTCTGCCACTCACTCATCCTTCGACGCTAGCCTCTTGCTCTAGCCGCTCGGCATCGCCGAGCTCCACCTCGCCAAGGGCCATTCTGCCCATGTGTCATCTTGGCAACGCCCACCGTGACGATGACAGGAGGATGCACACAGCGAGCACGACCGCCGCAACCATGTCCTCCACCCTCCCCACCAGCAGCAGTGGGCGCCGCCGAGGAATCCGCAGCGGTGTCGTTGACGGCCTCGGCCATGGTCCTCGCGATCGCGACCTCGGCCTCTGCGGGCATGCCGCGTGCGCCTGCCTGGCGCCCTCGTGCGCCAAGGCGGCGGTGAGATGCTCAAGGCCCCTCCCGTCCTACCTCTGCACGCGCGGCCAAGGCCAGCTTGGCGGTGTCGTGCCTGCGCGGAGCTCCGCGCGTGCTGTCGGTGCGCGACCAGCACCACAAGGAATGTGCCGAAGGCATCAGCCAGGACGAGGAAGCCGTCCAGCAGACCTTTAGCATCGACGGCGGCGCGGGCCAGCGTGGCCTGAGCCAATGGGAGGTGCAGCATCTCGTCCAGCACGCAGAGGAATGCGCACACGTGCGCCAGTGACATCGGGTACTTGGGCCCCAGGTTGGACGTCCACGACCAGCAGTGGCTGCGAGTACGTCGGAGTCGCTCGGTGCACCTCGGCTCCTATGTCACTTGGGCTAGGCAGAATGGTTACTGAATAGCGGCACTGTACATACGTCTTGATGGCTTCGCTAGCTGCGTGAACGGCGGCCATGATGGAACTGATCAAGCTCGGTGACAAGCCAAGCGTGAAGCGTGTGTACGTGCGGCGTGAATGGTCATCGACTCATCATCTTCCACGCGCCAACGCCGCGGGACCTATCCGAGCAGGAAGAGATGGCGCTCCAGTGCGCGCTCACCCTCCTGTCGTCGAGGTCGAGCACAGCCTCGCCGCAGCACGACTGCCTCAACATGCTCCCGATGAGCGCGCGCGTCCGTCCAGCCTTCCGACGCGGGCCATCAGGTCCACCATGCAGCCGTTGGGCGCGCGTTGGGCGCGACCTTGTGCTCCAGCCGCATGCGGTCGAAGCACCGCAGCCCGCGCGCGGCTGCAGTCGTTTAGCACGTTTACGTACCCGGTGTTCCTCAGCCAGGGACGTCTGCATGATAGTGTTTAGCCTCGCGGTGTTCCTCACCAGGGTGCAGTGAAGGTTCCGCTGACCATGGAGCTATCTTCGCACGCACGCGAGCTCCATGCCGCCCGGCCAACCCGAGGGCGTGCACGCCGCGAGCAGCGGGCCACGGTCGAGGCCCAGCTTGATGTGCCTGGCAGCGGGCGCGTTCCCGACCTCATCCACGTGCTCTACGTCTGAGACGGACGCCGCTGCCGCCGCCTCCAGAAAGGGCTACGGAGAGAGACAGCCACCAAGCTATTTTAGACAATTTATCTGCCCAGTCCTATATGTCAAAGCTCCCAAACCGTGAAAACCAAACAGAATGGAGACGGAATGGCTTGAGCGACAAAAAAGTTTCGGCCAGTAGCACCTAGGTGCGCTTGAACTTTTTATTGACATGTAGATAACAATCATCTTTTATAATGGTATACAGGTAAAACTCTTACTAAAGATAAGCAAACTGATAGCAAATACACTGCCATGACATGGACAACGCTTTGAACAGAACAATAAAATAAAATGTCCATACGGTTACTACGTGATGAACTAATTAATAACCATGACACAAGCCAAACATGTTTATTATATTTCAGGCCACAAAAGCAAATTGAACAGCTAGCAGCATCATTGAGGAAGAAGCACCAAAAGCCAAAAGTCATCTATGAACCAACAACCTCCGTCAGAGCATGCTAGAAATGCCAATCAACCTCATATCAACGATTCTGAAAAAAAGGAAACAAATGGTAAGTCAGCTTACTCAATATAATTCCCAATGCATTTATACTACATGTTGATTGAATGTAAGCAAAAATGGCAGTCAACAAAAATAACAAACTACCTTAGTTACTGTTGCCAGCTAATTTGTCCCTTAGAATCTTCAGGCCAATCACATGCTCAGCCCTAATATCCTCTGTCATCTTCCTAGTGTCCATACTCATTCCAGTAAAGCAGCCTCCCTCCTAAGCCGTACTGATACAACCTTCCTATCAGAATTGCGTCCCTGGGCCTCTAAGAACTCTTCCTGTCGTTTTTTTGCTGCAGCTTGAATGTCAAAGAATTTCATCAAGTCTTCATCTAAACTGGCATTATCATTGTTGACTCTACCTTTACCATTGTGCGTTGTTTCTTAGCTTGTTTTGTCCCTATAGGACCGTTCCTTTTCTCCTACACCTTTTGGCGTCCCTGAGATGTCAATTGCCTCATCTTCACCATCCAAATTCCTTCTATTTGGTTTTTCAAGTTCTTCCAAGACTACATGCCACTTGGGTTCATCACGAAGAACCTTCCAGCAGTGTAAAACTGTGAATGGGCCTTCCTTAGGATAGTCATCCAAATAAAACTGCTTAGCCATGTCTCTTAGCTGGTCATCTGAATATCCGCTAAGATAAACTAAGGTAGCCTTCTTCCAACAAGCACAGAAAAATCCCACCCATCTCTTAATTTTTTGCCAGCGATCTTTGAGACGTTTCACCTCTTCTTTGGTTTGTAGGTGTAGTGCTATTGTATAATTCATGTACATCACCCCAGTAGCTCTCATTTTTCTTGCATTTCCCATTGATTGGGTCATTCGAGTGAATCAGCCATGCACTGACCTGAATTTAGCATACATGATTAGTTGTAAGTTCATATATTTGTGAAGGTACAAAAAGAAAGCCAACGATCAGTGCAAAAGTTAGTGATAAAATTTTACTTACTAGCCTCTCGTCCTCCTCTTTATCAAATACAATACACTTTGCAGTCCTGACATTGTTTCCATCATCTAAGTTGACAGTTTTGCCTTTCGATCTTTTTTTAGCATTTTGGTTTCCTGAATCACTACTTTGTGGTGCTAATTGAGATCCTTTCCCATAGGTGGCCATGGTGCCGAAACATGAGGAATGAATGGTTGCTGTCCAGTTTGGAAAAAGCTCATAAAACCGCCAGGTGGATAGTAATCCATACCACTGAAAAATCAAGTAACCCATAAAACATCAGTGTTACTTCTACTGGAACTAATACAACTACTAAACTAACTATTTCTAGCAGTAAAGTACACAAAACATATTGGCTACTGTTAAAACTTGGAACAATCATTCAGGCTGCAAGTACAACAAAATGAGACTTACCAATTTGGGGATTTGGCCCCTAACGATGTGGCTTGTGGTAAAGGTCGAGGCCACCATGCTGTAGAGCAGTCATGGCGTCATACCATCAGTTGAGAGAAAAAAAAATTATCGAGAAAAAAAAAAGACAAGAGGGCAACATAAGCCATGTGGGGCTAGACCATGGGGGATTTTGCAAAGGTAGATAGGAGGAAGTGTGAACAGATTTTGCACAGCTAACATGGATCTACAAGTAATCTTGTATAAAGAAATAAATCTCCAAGTGGATTACCTGATTGGCCTCCTGGAGTAGGAACAGTAGCACCACCACAAAGAAGCGCAGGAATATGAGCAGATGAATGAAGCGTAGGAGCAGGAGCAGATCCGGTCTGATATGCAGGAGCAGGAGTAGGACCAGGTCTGTCCTGATCTGGTGGCGGAGCCATCTGACGCTTGGTTCGCTGGCTCATCACCGGCAGCCACGAATGGATTTAGGATACAATTCGATCTAGGGTTCAGACTGGGGAAGAGAGGTCGTTGAAAAAGGAGGGATATGGGGAGGGACTAACCTTGCTTTTGCAGAGCAAATAAATCGGAGAAGGCTGCGTGAGTAGCTGGATTGAGGAGGATTCACGCGTGCAGCCATGGAGGATTCACGCGCAACGGAGGATTCGCGCACGCAGCGGATCCGAGTGCGGTAGAAAATGCCAGAAGAAGAGCTAGTGGAAGGCGATAAGGCCAGCGATTTGGCGCATGGTGCTGTGTGCGAGATGAGCGACAGGAGAGTAAAAAAAAAAATGACATGAACGCCTTGGCCATCCCGGTATATAGATGATGCGAAAAATTATCAAACAATTTTAAAGGTCATGAGTTATGTTAAATTTCCAAAATCTTCAGATTTTATGTGCACTTCATATGCTATAGGGAAATTGATCGTACGGTCATCGTCCGTTAAGATCCAAAATGAGCCACTAAAATTTATTGAACGCATTCAGGAAGATATTTGTAGCCCCATACAACCAACGTCTGGACCGTTCAGCTACTTCATAGTTCTAATAGATGCATCTATTAGATGGTTTTATGTGTGTCTTTTGCCCACACGTAACCATGTATTTGCAAAAATTATTGTTCAAGTTATTAGACTTCGAGCACGTCATCCTGAACATCAAATTCAATCAATTCGAATGGACAATGCTGCTGAATTTTCCTCAAAGGCTTTCAACGATTATTGTATGGCTTTAGGAATTCAAGTTCAGCACTCTGTCCCATATGTCCATACACAAAATAGTTTAGCAGAATCTCTTATTAAGAGAATTAAACTTATTGCAAGACCGTTATTACAAAATTACAACCTACCAACTTTATATTGAGGTATCGACAGAATATCGTCGGCAGTCCTCCGAGGGGTATCACACGAAGGTAGATTGATCAGAAGAGAAGCGCGTGATCAAGAACAAGAAGGCAATAGAGACACACGAGTTATACAGGTTCAGGTCGTCAGTATGACGTAATACCTTACTCCTGTGGTCTGTTGGTTTGTATTAGCTATCGTATGATATGCCGTGATTTTGGAGGGGGTCTCTGCCCGCCTTATATAGTCTGGAGGGCAAGGTTACAAGTCGGTGAGATCTGAGAGATAACCGGAAAGTAATAACATATTACAAGAATCATGGGATCGTACGTATCTTAACAGATCTCGTAGTATCTTCAGGATATTTTCCTTATGTCTTACGGGAGGCGCCGAGCAGAGTCGTGCCCCGTAAGGCTTCGTCTTGTGGGCTGGGCCGCTCCTGGGGGCGCAGCCCATGTGGTATGTCGTGGGTATCCGGAGTCGTACCCCCCACAGCTAGTCCCCGAGCGCCTTGTACCCGTTGTGCAACGCCGTCTTGAGCTCGTCCGAGCAGGTGCGAACCAAAGCCGAGCAGTCTAACTCATGATCCGACCACCGTGGTGAGTAGCCGAGCAGTTGTGAGCAGTTGTCGAGCAGCGTACATCATCGCCGAACAGCGCGGACCATCGCCGAGCAGCATATCCCAAGCATGGCTTGCCATAAGGGTGTAAGGAGCTCAAGTCCAGAATTGAAAAATTTCTTCGCAGTGGACCAAGTGTGCCCACTTAGAGTCCGACCACGAGAAAATGAGATAATCTTCTTCGGCTTCATGAGGCACGGAGTCGTACCGAAAAAACAAACACTTTCACCGCTAGGTGAAGTGTGCCCACTTAGTCCCCGAGCCTGACAGTAGATGACGTAGTCATGTGGTGCCAGGGTCAGAAAGTAGAAAACTAGCCAAGCAGGCAGCCAGTTCCCGGGCGTAGCCTCGAGATAAGAAAAGCTCACATTCACCACAAGGTGAAGTGTGCTCACTTAGTCCCCAAGCCTGACAGTAAATGACGTAGTCATGTGGTGCCAGGGTCAGAAACAGAAAAGCAATGAAAGACCAGCTAAGCAAGCAGCCAGTCCTAGAGCTTCAGGTGATAATACCAGAGAAATCACATCGTTGAAAGAAAAACGGAGTAACGGCTGTACAGCAACAGTTACTGAACCTCACCAATTGGCGGAAAAGTCGGCGATTACTCGATGAGTAACAACTGACGGCAGCGTAAAACCAGCGCCATGGGCTATGGTTGCGCAAAGGCCCAGGTAACGGCCCATATACCGCGTCGGAGAATTCAGAGCGGCGCAGATCGTGGGAACGTTTTCCCAAAAACCCTTGAATGCAGGAAGATGGGGAAAGTGCTTTATAACTGTGCCGCCGCATACCCAGTTCCCACCTTTGCCACTTCATCTTCCTCCTCATACCTCGCATCCGTAAATCCGCAACCCCATTCGCCTCCGCCGCCAAACCCTAACCAGATCTGGGAGATGGTGCCAAAGAGAGGAGCTATGAAACCGAAGAAGGCTAGTCCCAAGAAGGCGAGCGCCGTAGCCCGACGCGATGAGGAGTGGGTGCCGTCGCGAACAGGAGAGGCGGAGCTGAACAGATTGGTGGAAGCCAGCGTTCTTCCTGACCGTGCCACCGCCGGATGGCGGCCGACCCTCGGTGAGTCCTTCCCGACACCTCATACTGACAAGGCAGTGGTATTCGAGGATTATTTTTTGCGCGGGTTGGGATTTCCTGTTCATCCGTTTTTGAGGGATCTGTTGGAGCTCTGGGTGGTTAGTCTGTGCAACCTCCACCCCAATACCATTTTGCACATATCCATCTTCATCCATTTCTGTGAGGCATACCTCGGAATCATCCCCCACTTCAATCTCTACCATCTCCTATTCTGGTTGAAGAAAAGAGGCGGCGCTGGTTCCAAGGTGGTCGGCGGTGTATGCCTTCAACTGCGCGACGGGATGACGAGCGAGTATCTTACTGTGCCGTTGAACACATCGGTGAAAGGGTGGAATGCCAGGTGGTTCTACATGAAACAGAGCCACCCGGTAGTCTATTGTGACACTGACCACATCCCAGAAAGCCAGAAGAGTTGGTCGGAGCTACCGAGCAACGACGACATAGAGCAAGTAAAGGAACTCCTCAGCTTAATAAAAGGCGTGAGGACCAATGGAGGGTTAGTAGCGGCGAGTTTCATAGTGTGCCGCGTTCAGCCCTGTAAGGAGAGGGTGCACCCAGGCTTCGAGTTCAAAGGGGAGACTGACGGCACCCGAGAGAGGCCAGAGATACTGTCTAGGAATGCTGTTGAAGAGCGGACTGCCGAGCTGTTCGCTCCACTTTCCTCATTCAGATTGTTAGGGTACACAAAGCCCTTTAACTGCAAGAATCTGCCTCCTCAGGTGACTATCCCCACTATGTATTTTTTGAGCAGCTTTTTTTTTGTCATTGTCGGACAGTAGACTGATTCACTCATGTGAAGATCCATTCGCAGGACAGAGCCGTGTATTTCTCGGGCATGCCAAGAGGTGATTGGCCATCGGCGGTGGATGCACAACCACCGGCTCAGCCTGAAGGAAGTTCCGTCGGCGTTTCTTCAGAATCCAAAAGTATGGATGTTGGTCGGACGGAGAGTCCTCCCCCGGTATCGGAGAAAATCCGAGGGAAGAGATCGGCGGAAGACGAGCCGGCCCAGAAGAAGAGGAAAACAGGGGCTACTACTCCCCACAAACCAGGCGGCATATCGCTTGTCAATGATCAGACCAATCGACCATGAAGGACCGCGGTGTTCGATTGGTCTGACAACGATGAAGTTTTGATGGCTCCTTCGCCGAGCACAACGGAGCCTCTGCGAAGCATGCGCGTGGGGGATCAATCAAGGGGAGGCGAAGAAGGCCGTGAACCACCGACGAGTGGAGTCCCCGAGCAGCAGGTGGAGGAAATTCCTGCGCAGCAGATGACTGAAGTCCCTTCGGGGTGAACAATGGCAGTCCCCGAGCAACCAACGAAGGCGGACCCGGGGCCATAAGCAGAACAGAGGCCGATAGAGGAGGAGCCAAGAGTTCCCCCGTAGAGCACAAGAGCCGACCATGCGGCTGCACCTGGGGGCTCAGGCAGGCATCGGCGGTTCAAGAAATTGAACCGTCAAACCAAACCGTGAGTGTCCTTGTGTTGAAGGTACTTTACTGTAGTTTATTTGCTTCTATGATCACTGATGAATTGGTTTGACGTAGTGGCAGGCAAACGACGGATCCAGCCCCGCCCACCCAGACTGAGCAGCAGCCGGGAGCTGGCCCCGGGGCGGGGGAGATGCCAATGGACCCAAACCTAGAGTCCCCGAGTGCTCGGCAACACACGGGAGAACCAAACGCTGCCCTTGGCAGACTTGGCGGCAGTGAACGG